TCGTGAAGCTGATATGATGATTAGCCAAAACTAAACTACACCTTGCCTCTCTTGCAGAAGAGGAAGATAAGGACTCACGTGCTGTCGCTCTCTAAAAGAGTCCTCTGAGAAAGAGGGACTACTCAAGACCTCAGCACTGAGGGCAACCTTTGCACATCTGACCTCCCAGGAAACATAAATATGAGGTCCTGAAGAGCAGTCAGAAAGATCTAACCAAAGTCAAATACAATGCAAGAAGTATTGGCTGGGCAGGCAAATGACAGCAAAGGCACCTGAGCTGTGCCAACACTAACTGCTCAAGACAGACCCAGAGGCTGTTCTGGAAACCATGGCTCCAGAGTGGTGGGAGGCAGTCAGCAGGCCCGCCGTCCTGGTGGGGTGGTGTCCATGCTGGAGCTTGAGTTACGGGATAGCATTTTCAAGCTGGCACCGCAGCGATTCTCTACTCTTTTGGAGAGGGTCGCACCACCAAGTGTCCTCAAGGGTAGGACAAACCTTATCTAAGATATAACATAGCATAAAAAAAGGAGTCTAGTATTTCTTATGGGGGATCAAAATTTTAGCACCTTTTTTTTCCCAGGATGTCATTTTTTAGTTGCTTTTCATTTTCTTCATGTAAGTAGAATAGTAACAATCCCACTGAGTTCTGCTTATCTGTGGGTGCTGGCAATGATTTGTACAGAGCTCCCTTGCTTTAAATGGCTTTTGTTTCAAATAGTGGTAGCTGGTAATTTGAGTGGGTGCTTCCCATCTGCAAGTCTCATATCCAGTATATCCCTGTGCACACGCCTTCAAGGGCACCAGTCCTGACAATCTGTCAAGAACACTTCTTAAAATGACTCCAGTGAGTTAAACAGACAGTATGGGCAGATGCAGTGATATTCTCCAAAGGGGAAACCTTATCACTGCAAGACTTCTGCTTTGGGAATCTGTGTGAAGGGCTATGTTTCTTTAACATACCAGGCTATATTTATCCAGACCTTTTTATTTTTTCCTAGCTAAAAAAAAAATAATCAAAAAACAACTCAGTACATTTCATTCTGAGCCTAACGCAGCCGGTCAGGACTGGGGTCTCTGCAGTCTTGGCACACAACCCTCCGTGCGTTACTCAGCAGTGTATGAAGCCGGCTGTTGGGAGGAGCTCAGCCTTGCATACCTGGCGTTTTCCCATAACTGAGTAAGAAAGATGCCCACATCACCTGGGTCTTCAGACACTCGAGGCTCTCAAATCACCTCAGTTAATTGCTCAGTTTACAGCAAAACTTTCCAGAAAGTGTATCCCTTGGATCTGGTAGAAATCATCCCAAAAGGGCAGTGTGTAAAGGCTTAATTTAAATTCCAGATACCAATTTTCTGGTATTACCAAAAAAACCCAAGTTGTGTTATTTCTCTTAACAGAGTTAAAAATTAGATGCAGGATAAATAAGCAGAAACATTAAGCTCTGAAATCTGTATTTTTTCCGCTTTCATTTGGTAAGAGAGAACTAATTTGCTGTTTGCCACACTGGAGGGAAGGGATGCCATCCAGAGGGACCTTGACAGGCTGGAGAGGTGGGCCTGTGAGAACCTCATGAAGTTCAACAAGGCCAAGTGCAAGGTCCTGCACATGGGTCAGGGCAATCCCAAGCACAAGTACAGGCTGGGCGGAGAATAGGTTGAGAGCAGCCCGGAGGAGAAGGAGCTGGGGGTGTTGGTTGATGAGAAGCTCAACATGAGCCGGCAATGTGTGCTGGCAGCCCAGAAAGCAAACCGGATCCTGGGCTGCATCCAAAGAAGTGTGGGCAGCAGGTCAAGGGAGGTGATTCTGCCCCTCTAATCTGCTCTCGTGAGACCCCAGCTGGAATACTGCATTCAGCTCTGGGGTCCCCAACATGAGAAAGACATGGAGCTGTTGGAGGGCCACGAAGATGATCGGAGGGCTGAAGCACCTCTGCTATGAAGACAGACTGAGAGAGTTGGGGCTGTTCAGCCTGGAGAAGAGAAGGCTCCAGGGAAACTTTCTAACAGCCTTCCAGTACCTAAAAGGGGCCTACACAAAAGCTGGAGAGGGACTTTTGGCAAGGGCATGTAGTGATAGGACATGGGGTAATGGCTTTAAACTGAAAGCCTGGAGAAGAGAAGGCTCTGGGGTGATCTTATAGCAGCTTTCCAGTACCTAAAGGGGGCCTACAGGCAAGCTGGAGAGGGACTTTTTACAAGGGCTTGTAGTGATAGGACAAGGGGCAATGGATTTAAACTGAAAGAGGGCAGATTTAGGTTAGATATAAGGCAGAAATTCTTTACATTGAGGGTGGTGAGGCAGTGGGACAGGTTGCCCAGAGAAGTTGTGGATGCCCCATCGTTCAAGGCCAGGCTGGATGAGGCTTTGAGCAACCTGGTGTAGTGGAAGGTTTCCCTGCCCATGGCAGGGGGGTTAGAACTACATGATCTTTGAGGTCCCTTCCAACTCAAACTCTTCTATGATTCTATGATTCCATGCTATTCTGTCATCTGCTATGTATCCTGCTGCTGAACTAATCTTTTCCGTGCCCTAGATTTTTATTAAATTTGCTTGCTTACATGATCTTTGAGGTCCCTTCCAACTCAAACTCTTCTATGATTCTATGATTCCATGCTATTCTGTCATCTGCTATGTATCCTGCTGCTGAACTAATCTTTTCCGTGCCCTAGATTTTTATTAAATTTGCTTGCTTATGTCATGGTTTAGCCCAGCCAGCAGCTAAGCTACCACGTGGCCACTCACTCACTCATTCTCCCATGCTCCTGGTGGTGTGGAGAGGAGAAAAATGTAACAAAAGTCTTGCAGATCAAGATAAGAACGTGGAGGGAATAGCCTCCACCCATGGTCCCGGGCAAAACAGACTCTACTTGGGGACAAATCAATTTAATTCATTATCCGTAACTTCAGAGAGGATAACGAGAAATAAAGCGAGATCTTAAAAACACCTTCCCCCACTCCTCCCTTCTTCCCTGTTCTACTTCCTCCCTTCAGTGGCGCAGGGGGACAGGGAAGGCGGGTTGCAGGTCAGTTCGTCACATGCTGTTTCTGCCACTCCTTCTTCAAGGGGGAGGGCTCCGTACACTCTTCCTCTGCTCCTATGTGGGGTCCTTTCTGACAGGAGACAGCTCTCCACAAACTTCGCCAACATGAGTCAGAGTGCTTCAGCATGGGCTTTTCCCACAAAGTCATGACTTCTTAGGGCGTAGTCACCCACTCCAGTATGGAGTCCCTTCCCACAGACTGCAGGTGTATCTCTGCTCCACCGTCAATCTCCAGCAGCATGGGAGACCCTTTCTCATGGGAGACAGTCCTCTACAAACTGTTTTGGGCACAGGCATCGCTGCTCCAGTGTGGGGCCCACCACAGGCTGCAGGTGGGTCTCTGCTCCACCATTTCTCTCATGGCTGCAGGGGGCCGCTTGCTGTATCACCACGGGCTGCAGGGGAATCTCAGCTCTGGCACACCTCCTCCTGCTCCGTCTTCACTGACCTGGTGTCTGTGTGGCCGTTTCTCTCAGATCTCAGTCCTCTCTCTGCTGCAGCCACACTGGGTCCAATGAACCTTGGCAGTCCCAGCAGGATGAACTCTGCCCAGCAGATGCCCTGGAGCAGGGCGCTTCGGAGCACTCCAAACCATGCTGCCGCAGCCACCTCCATTTGGCAGCCCAGCGTGAGCAGGTGCCCATACGGGAGGCTGAGGGGGCCAGCCCCCGTCTCTCCGCTCTCTTCACTGCAGGTCCCACCCGTTTCGGGTTCCTTTGTCCCCTTCTTAAATATGGCATTTGCAGAGGTACTAGTTGGCTCGACCCTGGCCAGAGGCAGCTGCAACCAGTTTTGGAGCCAGGGAAGCTTCTCTCATCTCCTTACAGGGGCTATTCCTGTAGCCCCTGCCCTGCTATAAAAATCCCACCACATAAACCAGCACAGCTTATTAGTGGAAGATTTACTTTCTAGGACTCCTTTTAATTCCATTTGCTACTACACCACCTTTTCTCTTGAATACAATTTTTCTGAAATGTCCTTTAAAGATTCTTGGCCTTTTCTGACTTGTGGCATATTTATAGTAGCCTGATCTAGTTTTCCTAATCATTAGTGATCTTCCCAGCAGGATACGTTCCTTTGTCTTCTTCCTAATGTGATTCAGGATACATTCCAATTTAAAATACCCTTACGCTTGAACCATTATGCTGGGGTTTATTGTACTAAATCGAACTCCACTGGATTTTCCTGAGGCTTTTCTTTGTCAATGCACCTGTGAGATATCTGCTGTGAAAATCCTTGCATTTTAGTAATAACACTGTAGCATTGTTATGTAAATATGTTTTAATTTTCCTTTGGCCAGTTCATCTGTTTTGATTCCTTATGTATTCAGATTTCTTTTGAGACAGGTTGAGGAAAGGAGCTCTAGTACTTTGCAGATAATAAATTACCAGAAATAAATGTGAAAATAGGCAGGAACATCAGGCCATTAATGGTGTCGGTATGGATATGCCCACCATGCCTACAATGGTGTAAGTACAGTAATCTGCTCTGTGAATTTGGCTGTGGGAGCATATTACTATGTTTAGAGGTGGTTAAATGCAGGCATAAATAGACAAAAGTGTTTTAACAGAATTAATAAAATCATCTTGTACATGTAGCCCAGCCATAAATGGTACACAGACTGAACACAAAATGATAGAAAAATACTAATTTCTTTTTAGTCACACAGAAGTAAATAGAGCATTCTGTGCTGCCCTGTGCATGTGAGTGTGTGTACATATATTCATAGAGTTACAAGGTATTTGTAACCAGTGAGTTGTGACTCCTAAGCTTGATTTAAAAACTGAATGAGTTCATTATAAAATCCTTCCTGCTCCCCTCCCCGTCCACCCCCTTCAAAAAAAAAAAAAAAAGAGATCTGAGGAATCAATGTAATCTACTTTAATAAATGAACATGTGAAAGTGCTTGTCTGGGATAAACCTGGGAACTATACATATTTCTCTTTTTCCTTGAACAGAATGAAAATGCCCTTGTGAAAATACAGGAGTTAGGAGTCGAGCTTGCAAAGATCAGGGATGAAGTTGGTAAGTAGTACAAGCAAAGTAACAACAAATTGATTTTCTCACTTTCTCACATCTCAAAGTGATTTTCGCAGTTAGTCCCTGTGACCTGATCCTGGGGAACGAGCATACATGTGATGAAGTGTCTTCTGAAGCCCAGTGGCAAGGGGTTTTGTGGCTTTGCGGGGAACCATGATTTTACCTGTTTGTTGTGGAGATGGGTCCATCACCTCACACACTGGAGCTAGTTGTGCATCATCTTTACTGGAAAAATTGTTCGTCAGAAATCCATAGCTTCCATTCTCAAACTGTACTGCCACTGCCAAGGAGAAAGCGCAGCGTGATGACAAGTGGGAACTTGGGACTGTTGTGGTGCATGCACGGTGACTGGGAATGTGTCGCGTACTTATGCACGTTTGTATGTTTTGCAGTTCAGCTACAAACTGAAGGACGCCAAGCTCAGAACTTGCTTATTAATATTTCTAAGGTCTCTTCCTGTTTGAAAGACAGCAAAAGCAATGTGTCCCATTCAGTCTGTGTATTCCCTGTGTATCTACTGTGCACCACTTTTCGTGTTTGGTTTCTGATCTAGACAGGAGAGACAGGGAGGATGTAAAAACATTGCAATCCTTGAGACAGAAGATGGGCTTTTGCGCTGGCTTCAGCCAAGAGGCTGAGTTCTTTTGGGCTTAAGTCTCCCTAGAATGGGTGTGACGTTGGGTTCACCTACCCCAGGGCAAACAAAGAGGAGTAAGGGCATCTGGAGGGCAGACCATTGGGGCAGGGACACCCTGAGTACTAGAAGGTCTTGGAACCACTGATGACTGGAGCTGTGAACAGGGGGACCTCTCAGCTTTCCCTGCATGTGGAACACCAGTTGCTGGGTCACACAGAAAGCACAGATTGTACCATGTGGCTGGAGGGTGACTTGATTTCCAAAGGGAGGCTCTGGCCAAACCGCTGTGAGGTGAGCAGAACTGCAGATCCTCCCTGTGCTTCGTCTTCACCTTGCCTATGACAACCCACTCCAGAAAAGCTGAGCCGAGCACTTTTCTGATGCCCAACAGCTTGTGCTCTCTGATGTGCACCTCTGAAATTTTTTGGCTGATTGTCATTTTATAAAGAGCTTTATTGTCCCCATGGCCAAAGGATACTGCAGCAACAGCAAAACAGCATTTCCAGTTATTCCCTGATGCTTGCCTTCATCTATCCTCTGCATTTCCAAATCTCTCACAGAGGAGTTGTTGCCACCGGTGCATTCTTTAGGCAGGGCACATCTGCAGCTCTCCATGGAATACTGGCTTCTCATTTGAAAGCTCTGCCTCTTTCTAGTGGGTTGGGTTTGCTCATTTTCATGAGTGCTTTTGCAAGTGGCGGTGACATAGGAAGGAAAAAGAGGTACAGTGCTGCAGACAGAGTTCTGCTTCCATTTACATCATGTTTGTATGGTTGAAGTGAATACAAATTACTGGTGGTTTTGCTGGAGAACTTTGTCAGGGATATAACTGATTGCCTGTTTGGGGGTCACAGAGTAGCATGTTCAGTAACAGGAGATCACTGCACTGCCTGCTCTTGCCATTGCTCATGTGCACGCAGAAGTAGATACCTCCTCTGTGCAAAACTGAGTCCTGATGGAGTAGATGGAGGCAGTTTTGGTAAGAACCCCACATACTTCAGAAAAGCAGTCTAAGGTCTCAGCTGAGCGTACTGCTTCAGAAGGGAGATTAGCCAAGACGTGTATGTGCTTTCTTTCTCAGAGATGGTAAAGATGGTGTGAAATAGTCCTTTCCTCAGTGGGCATGTGGGCATGTGTACTGGAGAGGAGCCATTACAGGCCATCTCTTCCTGAGCAAGCCACCACTCTGGGAGACACAGAGATGCTAACAGAGGCTGTTTAGGAGCAACAGGAGTGGCTGGTGATCTGTCCTGCTTGTTGGAGATAATCCTTTCTGTACAGCTCTGAGACTCAACATGCCCAGGTAGAAAGATTCCCAGTAGGGATGGACAAAAGGATGAACATGTGCAGCTATTGCACTCCAGCAGGATGTGAAAAAATTTGTCAGCAGTACGAATCTTGGTATGTATCCATACATTTGGAAGGTGAATGTTAATGTTTTTTAGCGTAAGTCAAAGATTGCTGGACAGTCTATTTTCCTTTGGAAGAAAATGACAACATTTAATTTTTTGAAACAACCAGTGTTTTAAATCTGTGGACAAGGTAAAATGGCAAATGCCATGTGCATGAGAATGGTTCTTGTCATGCAGTTCTTTGCTGTCTCTAAAGCAATGCAAGCCAGGGCTGTGGCTGCTACTGCAGACATGCAGCCCACCTGTGCGGTAGAAGCGTTATTTTGGTCTCACCACCAGATGAACCTGTATGTTTACAATATTGTACATATTCTGCCAAGCTTTATGCAAATAAAGAATGAAACAGTCATTTATTTGACAACAGCAATCATAGGTGATTCTATGAAGAAATTTAGGGAAAATCTAGAGAGCATGTTATTTTGACTATAACCAAGTTGTAGTTCTGATTTGTCTCAGTCACTTTGATTAGTAGTGTCTCATTAATTTAAAATTAACCAGTCCACTTAAACAGCATGAGTGTTGGTCAGAAATTCCTCATTTCTCATGTGTAAATTCATCATGTCAGACTCACTGATGCAAATGTCTGGATGAATCAGTAAAACAAGGCTGGACTAGCCAGGGTTGATACAGGCAGTGTGTCAACATTTAGTTGTTTAGGCAATAGCTCTAACTCAGAATTATGATTTAGGTGCCGAATGTTCTTGGTTTTGAAAGCACACAGTCTTTGTTAGCTTCAACAGAAACTGCAGGATTCTGCTATACAAAGCAATGAAACTCCGAGATATAATCCACTGTTCAGAAAAGTCAGAATATGTTTTTAAGAAAATATCTTTTGGTAAATTAAACCACTGCTGAAGCAATAGCAGTGATGGAGCGGGTATAAAACAGTCTAGAGAAACCTGCACCCTTCTGGAGCCAGGCAAAATATTTAGGTTCTGATAACACCATCCACCTTTACCCCCAGCACTGCTGTGAAGTATCACACCTCGTCTGAAACCAGCACGCAGTGAAATAGGAAAGTGCTTCTTCCTTCCCAGCCCTGAGGAGGAATGTGGCCTCTATAAACACTGAGACACTTGTTATTTTATGCAATAAGATTTGCTCATGTATTGTGCTGGAAATACCAACGCTAGAAAAACATGACAAGCAATGATTCAAGACACCCTTCTGTATAAATTATAAATATAAGCGCTTTTCAGCTGCAACACTGAGACTCCTGGAATAAAGGAGGTTTTGAATACCGGCTGTTTCCCTTCAAACTAATGGAAATTAAGTGTCAACATTACCTGCTCCTTTACTGTCAGACAAATGACATGTGAAGTGAGTTGAGAGGAGGTATGGAGATGCATAAAAACCTAGATGAATGGAAGACGATCAGATGTCAAGTTTAAAATCTGTTTTATCTGTGTTCACAAGAGTTTGAAATCCAAAGCCTATGTGCCCCCTCCTCCTGGATATGCCTCCCAGTCAGAGGACCCTTAACCTGAGTGAGGTGGCTGTGATTTGTCTGTGAATCTGTGGCTGCGGGTCAGGAAGAAGAGCAGAGTCTGCATGGTGAAGAGCTCATTTCTCATGTCAGAAGTAGACAGTCCCTGTGCAAGGCCACATGACTCCAGCCCCCTGCTTCCCATGGGAGTTACCCCCCTGAATGCAAAGTGCCAGGGCTGGGGAGGCTGGGCTGTGGTTCAGGCTGGGTTTGTGTGAGAGGCTCAGTCCATCTGCACTTCCCTCACCTTCCCAGCACGACCTGAAATGAGTTTTGCTCATCTGTTGGGCACTGTAAGAGCCACTTGATGCTCAGGGAGTAGGGAAGCAATGGCAGCTGCTCTCATTTAACCCAGCACGCTGTCATCCAGGAAATGCCATGTAATGTCAGAGTCATTTCAAGTCTGTAAGCAGCAATTGAAATACCTACAGAGAAGGAAAAAGAGAACCAGGGTGTAACTCTTCTCAATAGCAGCTGATAGCAGTTGAGCTCTGTTTGCCTTGTTCCGTGTCAGTAATACATTATATAACTTTTTTAGTGATTATTATATTTTTTTCTACAAGAGGAGCTCACTTCTACATTATGCATATCCTAATGTCTGAAAGAAAAATTCACTGTTTTCCAGCACCATTAGTGGGTCTTCTGTTCAGGCATCTGCTGTTAGTGCCTGCTGGAGGTGATCCAGCCTGGTTCATCAGAACCACCTGCTGAAGCTGCAGCTGGTTGAACGCTGCCTTCAGCAAGGCAGGCTCTCCCATGCTGGTTCCTGCTCCCCAGCTGGGTAAGGGAGTCACAGACCCTGTATTCGGCTGTGTGGCTGTTGTCTTCTGCTGCTCCTGTCCCAGTAGAGCCAGGCCCAAAGGTCCATCCCCTGTCCAGGTATAGATTCAATCTTTCCTCATCATTTCAGACCTTGGCCTCATTTGTCTCGGTCTGGGAGACTCTGTTAGGGATCATTCCTTCTTGTTAGAGGTATTTGATATTCAGTATAGGGCAAATTTCCTGGGCAATGGCCTCGTTTCCTTCCTCCAGTGGCA